TAGCAGCTAGGCTACATGCTACATTTATCCAAATGTTAAACAGCTAATTAGCAGCTAGGCTACATGCTACATTTATCCAAATGTTAAACAGCTAATTAGCAGCTGGGCTACATGCTACACTAAGATTTCATCACAACACTGAGTTGTTCTCTGGAAACTGATGCATTTTGTACGTGATGCAGAGCTTTATTGTTTACATTTCATCAGGACTAGTGTGGCTTGCTTGTTTTACATGACAACTTAAAAGCTTATAGCGGGTTAAAATAAGTGAAACACAGACCCAGGAACACCCATTCCACCTGGGAGTTAGCTTTCAAACACGACCAAAATCAAAACAAACCATTTACGTATCGTGGTTGAACAAATTATTTCAGTTTGCTTTAAACTTGCAACGAGAGAAGATTTAAGGTAATGTTCTCTGAATTAAAAAAAAAAAAATTGATTTAACTTAATGCGAGAACTGTCGACATGAGTCCGTACCTCTGGGGTAACATCTCGTGGTGCAAATCCAGTTCCTCCGGTGGTGAGAATAAGATTCAGCTCCTGCTCATCACACCACTCCAAAAGAGTGTCCTGCACGCAGACAAAGATAAAAACGACACCATCCATTCTTACAGCATCCAAATCAAGTTGATAAATATATTTTGCATTTAAAATACTGTGCTAGAATTATTGAAATGGCCTAAACTGTAATAAATCTTACAAAACTTGAAAATTTTTATGTTTAACTTGTGTTGCACTGCACAAAATTATAATATGACAAGTTATAGTTAATATTCTCGACTTGACACTATAAATTCTGACCACGCTGTGCTATCCATGCTGATTGTGCAGCTTTCGCTTCAGTTATTTGACAAGTACCTTGATTTCTTCAATTTCATCTGGAACTACTTTGTAGGCTGATATGACCCCTCCAAGTCTGCAGGAAGAGACGACAGCAACAGTTAGTTTAAGGCGAGGACCTGTATGTTTGTCAGCGTGTTAGCGTGACGACTCACAGTGAGGGGTCGTGGACCAGGTCCTTCAGGTTGACTCCACTCCTGTCCTCAGCCAGGTTCTTAAAACAGCTGTCACTGACTGAAAAGGGGAAAAATAAAAAAGTCAGAAACTGGAACAACTCGGAAAAATAATGCAAATTACAACACTGTGCATAAGTCTTGAACCAACCCAATTCAATGTCCCTCACAGCCTTAAAAACACAAAAACGGCTATAATTTGATCACATTTACAGATTTTGAGCTAATATTTGATGTGGTAGTAGCTGAAAGTCATTCCAAGCATTAAAATTTGTCAATAATGCATGAGGTTGTGAAAAGTCATTTTTAAGGTTTGACCAAAATGGCGCAATCATTTACCAACATAACTTTAGTCTAAAACTCTGACATGAGGTGGGTTTTTCTTTCTAGAACTGCTTTGTTTTCATTTTATGTCAAAAACTGAATCGAATGCAGCAGCCAAAATATAAATAAAAAATAAAACTCAGAAAATTTGAAGAACTAGTGATCAAGACCACTTCAGTTGTAACAGACTGGTCCCAAATGAAAAATAAATGAATAAAAATCATGAAATAAAAACTTAAACCCACTTTTTTTCCTCATGCATAATAATAAATTTGAGTTCAGTTCAGTTTATTTATATAGCGCCAAGTCAAAAGAGAAGTTATCTTTGCAGATAATGGTTTGTTGACAGTCCTGTCTTTCAGAACTGCACAATAACATATCTGGAAAACCACTGGAGCAAACTCTTTCAAACTGCACCATTTGATAAAGTTTGGATAATCTTTTTTTGTGTGTTTGATTTAACAGTTTGCAGCGAGTACCTTTAAAAGACCAAATGTCTGCCTGCTGGAAAGAAAATGAACAGAAACGAGGTCTGCATCAGGACTTCTGCACATGCCTGTGAAGGACTGAACAGCTTGGGCTAATTTCATTTGAGACATTTATTGCAAAATGAACCAGGAAGAACGTTTAGTGCACCGTTGGTAAAAAAAAATAAAAAATAAAATCTAAATATCGACCAAATGAGGGTGCAGCTGCTGGCCCCTTCGTCCTCCAACTGGTTCCGTCCTCCTCCTGTGCACGACTCTGAGACCAGCATCAGCCGAACCGATCTGAGGAGCTGGAGTCATTTTACCTCGGTGCTGCTGCTGTGTCTGATTTTAACAACCAGGGCGCAGGAGAGTCGTGATTAAAAGATGCTGAACGCACATGTGCATTTTAATTCAAACCACGGTGCTGTTAAAGATCCGTACATGTTCGGGGAGAACGGGCTTAACGGCGGGCAACACGTCGGATCTGCAAAGGGACATGAATAATGCAGCTCATGTAGGCTCGGCAGCAGCGCTACATTGCAAGAAAATATAATGCTCCTCGGAGTCAAGCTAGAACCTTTCAGCTACACAAGACCGGAACAGCTGGGGTTCCACCTTCAAAATAAAAGCTTCCTGCTATTAATTAACAAGAAATGCCTGCTACAAATATGCGCTCGCGCTATATTTTGAAAGCGGACACCGAGATTTATTTCCTCTCATGTCGGCCTTGATGTTAAATAAAATAGCTCAATGCACGGACGTCTAGCTACCCAAGACATATGATAACAGATGCATGTGTAAACATGATTAAACGATGATTTGCCTGAATTGTTTAAAACAAATAACCTGCATTTGTCCGAGCTGTCACGAAAGGCAGCTCGAACCAACCGGTTAGCATAGCCGCTAACGGGCTCGCGCTGCAGTGAGGGGAGACAGCTCGGATCGTGACACCGACGAGAAAAACGGCACGGGTGTGCGGTGTTCGCACGTATTCGGGTTCAAACGGTGTCCTTACCCGTCAGAATCCCTACACGGGTCTGATGGTCGTGGTTGGTGAGCACCATCCCGTCCGCCGCCATGTTTACAACCCCTGTCTGCACCGTGACGGCTCATACGTAGAGCCCGTGTGTCGGTGAGCAGCCCGCTACGGAGGCTGCTGAGGCGCCTCTGGAGGATGACCCGGGTCTGTGCACGCGCGTTCCGGTGTCCTTTGGCGCGAACGACCTCCAGATGATGAGACATCCGGTTTGAGTGTGAATGACTCTCAGCTACTACCACACCAATTTTTAGCTTAACATCTCCACAACTGATTGAGATTTCCGCATTTTAAGGTCATTTGTGAGATATTTTGCTAACAGACAAAAGAATGATGAAAAAGTATTGTGCAATGTCCAGATTATCCCTGTGGGGATTAATCTTGGACAATATTTTAGCTCAATATTTGTCAAATTGGCTGTTATAGCCATTTTGTCTTTCCTAAAATCAATTTGGCTGTGGCAGCCATCTTGAATTGGGTTGTTTCAAAAAGTTAATCAGTCGGAAGATGATTATTTTCTGGCAATGTCACTAAATTTGACCTTGTGTTTCATGAAATATTTTGATAAAAGACAGGTCTGACTCTAGTTGTTAAAGGCAAAGTTTAAAAAACAGATGAATTCAATCAATTAGTGCTTGAGTGTGTATTGGGAATGGAATGACTCTCAGCTACTACCGCACCAAAATTTTGCTAATTATTTGTCAAATTGTAGTCTCTTTTTTTTTTTTCTTCTAAAGTCACTGTGGCAGCCATCTTGAATCAGGTTGTCGACATAAATTAGTTGCAGATGCACATACAATGATTATTTTCCTGCAAGTTTATTTAAATTATGGTCACTAGTTCATGAAATGTTTTGTTAGAAGACAAACCCACACAGACACAAGCAACAGCATTATTGCCCTTTCAGTCTCCACTGTTGATTATCGTTGCCATGTCTTGCTCTTCTGCAGATTTTGAGCTGCTGGTGGTGGAGAAAAGGCTGGAGTTGACCGTTAGGACCCACTCGGCGATCCTCTTGTTGCTGTAGTACTCTTCATCATCGCTGTCCTCCTGGGTCCCTCCTGGACCACCTCCGTCTCCAGACTCCTCAGATTCTGTTTCAGCAGAGTTGTCAGAACAGAAAGCTCTTTGTTGCCTCTCGTCACACTGATTGGCTCCGTCTCCATTCCTCTTTTGGTGAACCTGAGGCTCTCTTGGTTCTGGCTGATCCTCCGTTCTTTTAATCCACCTGCTGCAGGTTTCTTTTTTGTGTTGTACCACTTCGATTTTGTTGCATGTGCTGAATTCTTGTTTAGTTCTCCCACATTGTGTACCAAACACATAAAACTCTGTGTTTTCTTTTGTTTTGTTGCCAGGTAAAGTTATAAAACATCCTCTGGGTTCCTTCAGGTGCAAAGGGAGAGCAGCAGTGACTTTACCTCCACCGATGGGGGGTAAATAAATGTTTTCTAATTGACCCGATGACCTCAAAACATTTCCTGTACTCCTCAAGACGTGTGAAGTGTTCTCAAACCTTGGGTATCCTTGAAAATTTATGGATGATCTGGTTGATGATCTTTTGTTCCATCGAGTGGCGGTCTCCAGGATTGGAGTCTTCCTTTCTGGGTGGTTTAACCCCCAACCCCTGGATCTTCTTATCATCTTTGAACCTGATTTATCTAAAAGTCATTTTCCCACAAAATATGTGCGAGACAAGCTTGCTTCAGATGGATCCTGTGCTTTCACACCACCTCCAGCTGAAAGTACAACCCTAAAAAGTCACTCGATCCGTAACTGGACTCCTCAGACGTTACGATCCAGAACCTGGACTCTGACAAGCTGTGCTTCAGAAGAACACTCGTAAATCTTTCATGCTGACACTAATGCGTTTTTGAAGAAGCCAGACTTTATATTTTTAGACAGAGTTAATTTCATAAAGAGTTATTTCATGCCGATTAAAGAAAAATCTATATTATACTATATTATCCTCTTCTAACAGAAGATGGATTTATATGGACCTCTACCACCGTAGAGAATGTAGAGGAATTTAGAAAACCGTGACAAGGGCAACGTTGTTGGACACAAAGCGATTTGTTTGCAGGAAGAAATAGACGAAATAATGCCTGAACTCTTCATCACTTCAGCACCAGAACATATTTTAAGTGATGGAATAAGTGATAAAAACATTAGAAAGTCATAATAACTTTACAAACACAATTATTACAGCTTGAAAAGCAGCAATATATGGATACTAACAAAACATATTGTGTATTCATACAGTGTACAAATAAATAGTTTAAAAGAGATATCCTGATGCATAGTCAAGTTTGAGAATAAACATATTTGTCAAAGCGCCCTCTGCTGGACAAATACTGATCTGCCTGCAGCATTTTATTTCTGAAGAGAAGATCGTTACAATGTTTATGATATATTGTTTAAATTTAAATTATCTGCTTGTTAAATGAAGAATTTCTATTGATATTTTTGATAATCTTCCTCAAAACAGAGTCATAAACTTGCCTTTCACCGAGATGTCTTGGTAACAGTAAAGGTAGTAAATAATAGTAAATAGTAGATTTGAAATTATAAGGAAAGAAAAATGTTTTAAATTCAAATACAATTATAAAACACATTAGTGAATATTATGTATATGTAAAATTATTTACAGATGCATCAAAGTAGACTGCAGATTGGATTGGGAAGCATTATTATTCCTGAGTTTGGAGTGAAAGTAGGGAAGAGGATCAGTGACAAATTATCTGTATACACATTAGAAATGGTAGCAATACTAATTGCCATACAGTGGATTGAAGATAATCAATCATTCATTTGTTCATTTTCCAGTTTTTCATTATTCAGTTTAAAAAAATGGTTGTTCAGAAAGCCAGGAGAATGCAGCAATAAAGGCAAACAGTTAAGCTCCGCCTTATCCTCTGTGATTGGTCAACACAGACGTCAATCAACGCCTCATCTGTTCACTTCCTTAGCAACGACCGGAAGTTCGTTTCAATCACAAAGCGGTAAAAACGTTTGTTTACGGAAGTCAGCGTGTTTGTGAAATTTGACGGCAGCAGGTGTTTTTTGTGTGTGGCTGTAATGCAGCGGAGTAAAGCGGCTGTGAGTGTGGAGGTGAAGCGGGTTATCGGAGCTCTCTGCCGGCTCTTAGCGGCCGTCGGTCTGGACGCTGTCCCCGCACCGGAGGCCTTCAGGCGGGCCAAGTTTGGCGGTGGAACCGAGGTGCGTTCATGTTCGCCACAGTTCATGAAAGTTTTACTGTTAGAAATAAAGTCGTCAGTAAAAGATTTGGATGGTTAGTAATAAAAATGAAGAGTATAACCAGACTCATTGTTTGGAACATTATTATTTATTTATTTTTCAAGGAAGACCAGTTCTGGCAGCTTCTTGCTGACATCCTTCAGACTGCTGGGATTGTTTCCTCGGAGACCAGAACTCAGCTGGGAGGAGGTCAGTCTGCTTTTTATAGTTTTTCTCTCTGGGGTGTTTAAAACACTGCACATACAGTGGGTATTTCATGTTCAAAAATCTCTATTGCAACCATATTGAGAAATCAGATGTTGCAGTTTTCATGGCTTAAAAAAAAAGCTCTTTACTCCCAAAACCTGGTTGACTTTCTTGAAAGATTGAGAAACTTGTTTGTGTGTTGCAGAGCGCAGGAAGCTGGTGGCTGCAGGACTCTGGCAGACTGGTTTCCACACAGCCTGGATGTACCAGGAGGACAAAGGGAGTTTCTCCAGCAGAGATCTCCTCCTGGCGCTCGGCTGGCTGCTGGCTGCAGGGACTCTGGAGAAGCTATTGACCCAACGAGTCCAGCAGCTGGACAAAACCCTGCTATCCTCAGTTCCTGTAGGTTTGGACGGGTGTGGTTGTGTGACCATAAATGCACGTGCTGATTCCTAGTTATGTATTCATATTCGTGTGTTTTCTACGTGTTTTAGGCGAGCTGTGAGTTTTCTGGTGATCTGGAATTTGATGCTGCCTCGCTGAGGAGACTTCAGTGGCTGATTGGTCGTCTGAGACACCAGAGACGGATCCTGCTGTCCACGATACGAGCGCGAACACAAGCGCTTCACCATGTGAGGCTTTTTCTTTCACAGTTCAACTTTTAAAGAGAAATAAAATCAGTCAAGTCAGCTTTTTGAGTTTGTCAAACTTCAAAAAAGTAGAAACCAAACAAGTTCAGTTTGATTAAAGGATTAGTTGAGTAACAAGCTGTGATGTTAAGAAATCTTTTCCTCCTCAGGTATTTTCTGCCAGCCACTCTCTCTGTTCTGGTCAGAGCTCTGCGACACTGCAGGAGGTATGTGAGCTTTTATAAAATTCACTTTGTTAAGCTGAGTTTGCAGATTTGATAAGCTGATGAAGCGTAAATCGAACTTTCAGATTGAATTTAATGAAAATATGATAAATGTTTGCGTAAAACTCCTGAACGTCTTTATATTTTCCTTCTGTGCAGTTTTATATGTTTTCTTGAGGGTTTTTAGCATCACCTGAACTTTGTCTGAAGGTGAGTTTGTGGATGTTGCAGGACAGCGGTCGTCTTCAGCAGCTTTGTGACCTTTTGGAAGCGTATGTGAACTGGAAGCAGGTGGAGAAAGTCTTCTGGACCTGGATGGTGTGATACAGCAACAACTTGTAAACCTAAATTCACCCCGGTGGAACGTGACGCCACATTTAATGTGTGTTTTTGTCTGTGTAGGACAGCGTGATCGACCTGATGGATCCTTGTAGCATGAACTCACCACGACTTCCCAATGGGAGTCCAGCAGCGTGTCACCGTGGAGACCAGAGGCTGGAGAAACTAGAGATGTTCATGAAGCAGGAGTATAGTTTTAAATCACTTCCTGAAGAAGCTCAGAAGACACAAACGAAAAGCGCCTTTTTCCCGCCTCCTCTCCTCTCCTCTTTACCCTCCATCCCTGCGGTGTGTCGAGCCAAGCTGCAGGTTGAGGAGCCGGTCAAGCACCCAGCAGTGAGAACCCTTGGCAGGACCAAGGGCCCCCACAGTGGGGTGGAGTCCCCAGACGAGCTCCTGGCGTCTCAGGCAGCAGAGCTGCTGCTTCATGCTGAATCTGCGCTGCTGCAGAGGAGGGATCGACGAAGGCTGGCCAACAGGATGTCGCTGCAGGAGCTGATCGGCTGCTTAGACCATTTGGTGTTTATACCTTTGTAACTCGTTTTTAATTCATCATGTTTTCTTAACATGTTTTCTTCATGTGAACGACACTTTCAATGTCAAATATGGCTGAAAGTTCTTTAACGAACATGTTCTCATGTTCACTGGTCTGGTTTTGTTATAAAAATTTTCCGGTGAAATAAAATTTGAATCGTGTGTTTTTTGTGTGTGTTTTTTTGGCGACGTAATTTATTTGTTTATTGCAAATTTAAGAAGTTGGCCCAGTTCACAGTATTTAACACCTTATGAAGACTTAATGGTAGGAATGGGCAACACGAAAATATATTGAGGATAAAAACATGACAATGATTTGTGTTGTCATCACGTTAACGAGCAGAACGTTGCTTTCAGTACAAAAAAGAAAAATAAACCTCATAACTTTTCAGGAGTTGAATCTCGCTGAGTTCTTGCTGCTGAGTTTAAATATCTGGATACATTTTCAGCCTCAGCTCTTACAAACTTGTTCTATTTCAGAGGGTCTCTGCTCAGCACACGCATTGTTTGGTTGCATAAATGGTCACAAACTCACAAAAGTGTACAGGTTCAATCTGCAGGAAAACGATTTTGTTTTATTTGTCTTAAAACCCTCAAAAAGTTTTTAAAATGTGTGTATTGGAAAGAAAAACTTGAGCGTCAAACATCACAACATTTGCACATTTATTAGTTTTCAAGTTTAATAAAATCAAAAATAACAAACTCACTTTAAATGTCAGCACAGGTCAAAGGTGGAAACGTTGATCTAACATATTTTTAAGAACAACTTGTGAGCTGTTCTGACCAGTCTTTGTAACTGCACCGTGGAAATTTAAAAAGCGTTCAGAGGTTTGTGTCGACTTTACTGACAGGACCGTCATGAGTTAACCACGAGGAGTTTCTGCATGTAGGAGTTGAGCCACTTCTGCCTCTCCATGGACGTGAGCAGTTTGCTCTTCTCTCTGAAGGCGGCGTCGTCGGCCACCACCATGTTCCTCTTCAGGAGCCGGGCCCCTTTGGACGCCCACTCTGCAGGCCAGACGCCCTCCACACTGAGGGGGAAGACCAAAAATCACAACATGTAATTATTTATTTCACTCTAAGCCCCCGTTTTCTCCAAGAATAGGGCCATTTGTTGACCACGTAAGGAACCAAAAATATGGTTGTTTGATTCTTCACAAAATTAGAAATAAAATGAGGTAATATTATTTTTTTTTATTTTTTTAAAGCACATATATTACCTGGAGCCAATAAAGCAGCAAACCCTGTTAAAGAGTATTTGGTGTTACATCTGTTTATGCTTTAAGTTTAGATGTTTCACATTAGTTTGATTCAGTTTATGTTTGTGTCAAAAAAGAAAGGGGGGAGTAAAAATGATGAATTGGTGATTCAAATAAAAAGTTTCTAAGAAAGACAACCCTCTGTACTTGTAGGCTGTGTGTAAAAATAGGGATTTTTTAAAAATAATTTGTACTGAATTCATGATTTTAAAATGGCTATAACCATTTGTTTAGGACCTATAATACTAATTTATTTAAACTTCATTTGATTTTAGTGAAATTAAAGTCTTTGCTTCTTTTGCTGAAACTTCAGGATGGAGTGTTTTTGTCATTTTTGAAACTGAAAAACATTTAAGGTACTAAAATGACCATCTCCTGCAATTATTGTTAATAATATTTGGATTTTAAAAATATATAAAATATGTAACCCCCAAAATAAATCAGTGAATAAAATCTGTTTGACTTAATGATCAATACTGTGACTTATTTACAGAAGAAAAAAGATTTTTTTATTTTTTACCTTATTTTTCTTGTAATTTTAAACAATCTTTCTACCTGTCCAACTCTTTTTCATTATTTTAACTTTATATAAACATGTAAAAACACATTTTGATTAAACTTTCAATCTGTTGGACTAACAGTTGTGGTGCAGAGCCTTTCAGATGATTGTGCTTTTATTTTATAATTAATGTTTTAAGTTTAACTTTCCTTTTAACCGTGATGAAACGGATCAGAACGTTCTGAAGCGTGGTCCTGGCCTCCAACTTGATTTGAGTTTCACCTGGCCTCGGTTCTCTCCGGCCCGAACAGCCAGGCCTCCCTCATCAGCTCCGTCTTGCTGTCAGCTGCAGCTCTGAGGCCGGGCATCATCTGGATGTCCCAGTCGTGGAGGGAAATGGACGGGAAGAGGACGTCCCAGTCGTCTCGTTTCACCTCCTCTGTATCATCAGGACCTCTGGAGTCAGAGGAGACATAACATCAGATCAGAGCTCAGGCTTCACATAAGAGAGGGAGATGATGAAACAAGACGTCAGGGTTTGATGTCACCTGAGGCGCAGCTGAGGCTGAGGGAAGCCAGAGGTCACAGAGGTCATACCCAGAATGCAAAGCAACAGGAAGGACACACGAAGAAAAGCTGGGAACTCTGACATCCTGAAAAACGAAACAAATCAAACTGTCTTTGTGTTCCTGGTAAAACCACAGGTAATGTGAAAAGCACAGCAGCCATCAGTCTGTACAGATGTTACTCTTATTCAAAAGAGAAACATTATTTTTGTTTAATTAATAACAAAATGCTTCTCTGATCATTAATGTCTGAAACCAAGCTGCCAAAGTCTGGAAAACCATTCATCAAATATCATTAAATGATAATCAAAAGACAAATATAAAAAGAAAGTTTTACAAGACTGTTTTAGAAACAAATATTTTAAATATATATAATTTAAGTGTTTAATTTAATTTAAGTAGACTCATAATCTTCAAATATTTCTTTTTAAATCTGAATATTTGAGTTTTATCCTGTAACTCCGCTTTTTTTCTACTTATTTGAATTTTAGATATCAAACTAAACTTTTAATTTTTCCAGTTTTTAGTCTCACCTCTCCTCAACTGAAGGATTTATAAATAAATAAATAAATAAATAAATAAAAAGTTTGAGAAGAACGGGAAACAAAGACGACTCAACAAAATGAGGGATTATTGCCGCAGAGCGCTCGTTTGAACCTGTGGCTTCAAATCAACTTTTAAACATTTAAATCACTGCATTAAGTTCACTTTATAATGTAACAAAAAGGCTGAGAGATAAATGTGGAATAAATAACTCTGGAGAAATGTAAAAGCCGCTTTATAAATATTTTTTCATAGATTTTTTTAATGTAATAAAATAAAGATAAAAATATTATTTTTCAGTTTAAAAAGAAGGGAAAACATGTAAAGCAAAACCTTGTTTAGTTTCTGATTTATTGTTAAACAACCAAGATTCTTGAATTGTTTTTAATTAATAACTAATAATTAAGTCAAACAAACTAAACTGAGTGAATCCTGAGAGTTTCAAATGAAACACAGGATTTGTCATAATTTATTTTTATTTTTGCAGAGAAGAAGTCTTTTAAATGCGAAATTCAACATTACAGTTAGATCTGAATCAACTTTCACTGCCCTGCACTCAAAGTTCAAGAAAAAACTAAATGTTTTCTTTAGAAATGTGGTTTTATTAAATATCTTTGGGTTCTTACCTGCCTTTGGTCGAGGTCGGAGGCTCAGCTCTACACCAGAAACAAACCAAAAAAAAAAAAAAAAAAAAAATGAAGATGACTTTCAGAAAGTCAAGTGTTTCTGTCTCCTCTGGATTCTTCTCGTTCTTTTTCTTATTTATATCGTGGCTCTTCAGGTCGAAGGTGTCTGCGCGCCACCAACGTTTTGTCTTTTATACTTTCACACCCCGAGCTGGAGTGTCATCACCCCACACCCCACTAACACACCCACACAGGGGAGTAAACACCCTTCAGCAGATCAATCCGAAGACCTGGAGAGCTTGTTAGTGTCCAGATTCAAAGTCCTGCCGCCGCTGGTCTTGTTACGGACGTCATTACAGAGCTGCTGTGTTTCTCTGAGGATGAGATGTTTCTACACCTGCTTAGTGAGGATTTTATTCAAGCAGAGTTGTGTTTATTCTCACAGGTTTGCAGCTTTCAAACCCTTGACGAAGCGATCAAAGAAGCTACAAACTTGGCGTTAAAGCCTGGATCTCACTGCGACTGGGCCAAGTTGTGAGAAAATGCAATGAATTTGTCCTCCTGTTTGCGTAACTGCAAATAAACGAGTCTCGATCGTGTCTTAATTCCATCGCAGTCTGTTCGCTTTTTTTGCTTTCGTAGTTCGTCCTAAGCCCTTTTGGTTTCAGACGGTGCGGGCTCCAGCATTGACTGTGGCACATTGGAGAAATATCTTGTTTAGGACATGTTTTTTTAAAAGAAGTTCAAAATTTTTCTGATATGACGAGGAAACAGAACTTCTGTGAGCACTTGGAGACATTTTGGAGATGACTATTCATTCAACCTTTATTTAGACAAGTAAATCCCATTGAGCCTCGAGGACTCATTTACAAGAGAGACCTGATGTCAACAAAGAATGATGACAACAATGGACAACAGCGACAACAATAGACAGTTATAAAAAGGCATACAGTTTTAGATGGCAAAAAAAAAAGTTACAAAAACAACTAGATTATAAGGCGACTGTAGAAAACTAAAAACAGGAACATGTTAAACCTAAACCTGACTAAACGTGAAATTAAAGACACGCAGAGAGATCCGTGTCAGAAGAGCTTTACAGTTTTCCTGCAGATGCACAGCAACACGAGGCTTAAACAATAATCCAAAAGTCTTAAACTTCAACAACGCCTCATCAGACTTATTTGACCTCTGCAGATGAGGAAAAAACCAGCAGAACCAGGAGCGAAGATGCTCCTCTGCTGCTGGTGGTCCAGTCTGTATCTATCATGAACAAAGCAAGGAATCAGCTTCATCAAGTCCAGTGGGCTCGGCTTTGTGTCAGAAAATAACAATTTGACTCTGAGCAGTTCTAAAAAATTTTTTTTAAAAACTTCTCTGCAGGTTTACAGCCAAGATGAAATCCATTCTGCTTCTCCAAACTGGGCCTCAGCTTCCGTCTGCAGAACCGAGACGTAGAACAATCCAACAAAACCCAGCTTCAGATTAGTGAAGCATCCATCAAGTTCAACAAAGAGAACACAAAGTCCTGGTTCAGGAGCTCCTCAGAGTGGATCTGCTCTAATCTGTGCAATAAGAGCTACTTTACTCAAACTAAATAAAAAGTTTAATGTCGTAAAACAATAAGCTGTGAGCATTTTAAAGAATTTATATTAAATTATCTACAAAGTGAAAGCCAATAACAAGTCGTCAGATCTCTTCTTTTTTAAATTAAATATCAAACCAGAGTTCAGGAGCGTCCCCTTTTTGTTTCCTGGAATGCACCAGTTTATTTTCTCATGGGAAATCAAGCTAAAACCACTGACATAATTGTCTGTAAACCAAAAAGATGAAACCGTGTTGAGGCTTAAATCTGCAGGATTTCAGCTGAAGATTGGGAGTAAAACTAGCGAATTAAAAAAAAATTAAATTATTGGGTCAAAAAATGAAACAAATTAGTTGTTCTTTAACAGATAAAGCCCCATCATAGTCTTGCATGCAGAACATGTATTTGGACCCATAAATTATGTGTAACTCCAAGCAGACAGTCTGTTGACCCTCGCTGTCACAGAAGTGATGCTCTGTACTTGCAGAGTGAGTAACACTCCGTCTCTTAATTGGATGCATGGATGACACGTGGAAATCTGGCCCATCAAACAGCCTCTGGGTCCACATTCCTCCTGAAACGGAACCAAAACAAAGGGAGAAATGACGAATCTTGGGCGGCGCTGGAAGCTCGTCTCCGTTTAAGCACCTTGTTATGGTCGTGGCTGCAGATAATGACCTGCGGACAGGAAGCAGCTGGTCCTGACGATAACAAGCTTCCACCTGAGACGTGTCAGAAACACTCCCAGGTGTCCTCTGTGCTCCCGGCTCGGTAGATTCACCATCTGCATGTTCAGATCTACACAAAGACAAGCATCTAGTGTGCTGTTGTTTTGGAACAACAGAGCTGAATGCATTCAAACCTGATTCTCTTTGCTTTTAGGTAAAAAAAACAAAAAAAAAAACACTTTTCTTCTGGAGTGAAACATTTTTACAACCTGAATGTTGATGAGATTTTATTTACATTCACATAATTAACTAAAATTTCTGCACAGAAAGTATGGGAGTCAAACCAGTGTCTTTCTCGCTGTGAGGCAAGCACTGCTCCACCATGTGCTGTTTGTCTGTTAGCATAATATCTCATTTAGTGGATTTTAAAGAAACATTCAGAGAGCTATCACTGGATGTAGATCTACATTTACTGTTGGAGTCATCTCAATTCAAGATGTCCGCCACGGCCTAATGATCCTCAAAAACACAAAAATGGAACAAAAACATTAGGTGCATATGATAAATTCTGGTTTACCTGATCTGGACCTTGTTGGTTTCACATTTTGTCTCGCTCATTCCTCAACCGAGGTTTGCTCAAAGGTTGGCAGTACTGGAGTTCAAACCCTGATCTCTCGTCTTTAAGCTGCTGGATTCATACCCGTCTGCTCACAGCAGACTCATGTTCAGGCTGCTGTTTAATACACCGTATTATTTTACATGATTAGTGTTTAGTGTATATATTAGATACTGCTTCTTTTTATACTTTATATTTTTGCTGTTTTTTTAGTGTAACTGGAACCTTGGGTACACAATTTCATTCCACCTCATGTACCACATGTGATGCAAATGACAATAAAGAACCTTGAACTTCAGCTTTTTTGATGTTGTTTAAAAAAAAGGTTGAATTTTTTTAGGCTGTGTTCACAAAGTGCCAGCAGAGGACAGCACAAACTAAAGTAAAGGAAGAACAGCTAAAAGGGATAAAGTCTCAAATAAAACACCTTAAACATTTTATGGTTACCGTCTGTTTTATGTATTTACTGAAAGTTTTCATCTCTGAAGGCTTATTTTGATGTAAGGCATGGAAAATTGATTGTTTCAATCTGATTTGTCGCTAATATTCAAAAAATATGCACATCTGTGGTCAAGTTTCAAGACTCCAGTTCTGAAAGGGTTTATTTGTTTTTTAAAGTCACACACCTCACCAAACCAGGATTAGAAATATTGTTGCTGTTTTAGTCCATGATAAGATTAAAATTATATTTTCTGACACATATCATCCCTCATCTTGGCTCTGCTGATCACTAAAATCAATTAAGTTCTTATATTGTAGTAAAATGAGAAATAATTTTCCACCTTTTGTCACATTACAACCATAAAATGTAAAGGATTTTTATGGAATTTCATGTGACAAACAGAGTAAAGCATAGATGTGAAGTGGAGAATAAAATGACGGTTTTCTAAATATCTTACAAACAAAAATATGAAAAGCCTTTACAACTGTCTATCTTCAGATTATCAGCAAATTGAGTCCATCTGTGTGTAATTTAATCCCAGTACAGACTCAGCTGTTCTGTGAAAACCTCAGTGGTCACCATTAGTGATCAAACAGCATCATGAAGACCAAGGAACACACCAGACAGGTCAGGGGATGGAATGGTTGAGAGGTTTTAAGCAGTTTGAGGTTATAAAACAATACCATGGACTTTGAATGTCTCACCAAGTTCAATCCATCATCTGAAAATGGACAGAGGACGTCTCAGTCGGTACCAAGAGGAGAGCATTGATCTGAGAAGCCCCGTAGCAACACTCCTTTTGGTCTTCAGGTGGGACAGGACCTCTATTAGTCCACAAGTCTGGCCATTATGAAGGAGAAGAAAAAAATGTATGAAGTCTAATTTGTATTTGACCCAAGACATGCACGGACACAGCAAACGTGGAAAAATCTGCTCAGATTGGACCAAAGTGCTCACCCTGAACGCACCGCACCCATCACCTGGTCTGGGTTTTAGCTACGAGTGTGATCTCTGGGTGTCTTCATGTCAGCTGAAACCAAACCTACAACATTTCCTGTCTTGGAGGTCCAACAGAATGTGATTTACAGTCCATGATGAACAGACTGGACTCTTACACGATCCCCCCCACCCACACACCCACACACACACACATTCACACACATTCACACACATTCACACACTACATCATGCCATGCTCCGCAGGTCCCACCATAAATCATGAACCACCTCCGTCCTCTGCTCCTGTCGACTTTTCTAAGAAGAAAACGTCAAGCAGGACGTTTTGTTCACATTTCTTTGTCTCTTGACTTTCACCAGTCATTAAAGAAGAGTGATGGTTTTCACAGATGCTAACACACACACACGCGCACACACATGCACACACTGCAGGTACAGCAGCTAACCGAAACCACAAATCTGGCAAATATGGGAGCAATTACCAGGAGGCCACAGACTGAGTGCTGAGGTCGTCTGAACACACACACTGCAGAGAAAACACAAACGCACCTCTGTCCCACACGTGCACAAATATTGACAATGACCTCACGTTCATCCCACGGCGGCTGGACGCTCCAAGAGTTCCTCTTCTTCAAGCTCACTTCGACTGGAAACAGCTTGGGTTAATTTCAACAAACTAATCAGCAACGCGTCACATAAATCCAGTTTAACGTCTGGATTTCCCCCGAGAAGCCGGGCGTTCTTCTAATCTATGAAAACAGTCTTTAGCAGGATTTTTGTTGATCTTTTAAACGTTTTCTTTTGGGCGCTTCTGAGTTTGCATAGATTTATACTACTATGATAAAAATCAAAAATCTAAATCATAAACATGAGACACTCTGTCAAAAATAATGACTTCATATTTCATATTTATGACTAAGCAGCTCAAACTAAATCGCAATCTTTACATAATACCACAACGTTAAGATTTAGACTGCAGTGGTTCCCAACCGTGGTCCTTGAGGAACACCATCCTGCATGTTTTAGTTGTTTCTCTGCTCCAACACACCTGATTCTGTGGTTTAATTACGTCCTTAAGTTCTGCAGAAGTCGGTTAATCACCCGTTCATTCAAAACAGGTGAGTTAGAGCAGAGGAACATCTAAAACATGCAGGATGGTGTTCCTCAGGGACCAGGGTTGGGAACCACTAGAGCATAATTTTTCCCTTCAGAGTGGCACAAACAGTGTTTTTGACTTTCTAACCGCATTCCTGACCACAATGATATATTTTGTGCTTACAAATCTGAGAAAACTGAACAATATGAGAACATTGTTAGGAGGGACAGGTCTAAAAACAAACTATTTAGCACAGAAAAATATTCTAAAAGACTTTAAGCAAAAACAAACAAATAAAAGCTATGCAGGTAAGACCTGTGAAATCACCTCTTGCGTGTTAAAATTAGTTTTTTTGGGTGTATTGTCACGAACTGGGAAGTTTTGCAGCAAAGAGCTAAAAGCAAACGAGTCAAGAAAGGGTTTAATGTTTTCTAATGTTTTTAAGGTTTAAAACATATTAACTTTTTGCGTTTTATTAGTTGTTCTTGTCAACAAGTTTTGTACTTTACAGCTCTCTCAATGAAGTGTTTTTTAACACAAACGGATTTTACGATGATGTTTGTTTCCTGTTGACCTCGACCCTCTGACCTGAACCCAAACTGATCTCGGACAGGTCCAAGGCTGACCTTTGACCTGCTCCAACTTTAACGCCTGTCTTTGTGTTGCAGTTTACAGATTTGGGGGTTATGTTGTGTAAAAACTCGTGTTCTCAGTGAGAAAAGGACAAGAAGAGAGAAGGAACGTTCCTTTGAACCAGAACCGACTCCTCCATCTGGAAACTCTTTCACCCTTTGACCTTACACCCCTCCCTGTCCTTCGGGGATCCTTTGTCCCGGTCCGGTGTGGAGGAAGTTGCTGTAAACGAAGACAGATTTGAGACGGAAGACCGAAGCTTTAAAAACAAGAAGTGGATCAGGCCATGACCAGAACCAGTGCTTCCACAGGATTCTGACTCCACAACAACTCTGAATCTCCAATTCCCAGTTTTGCCTTCGTTTTTTTCTCCCTACACACTTTGTGCTAATTTATACATCCATGTATCAAAAATAAAATACATTTTCACCATAGAAATGCATCTCATTTTCTCTGAAAACAGTTTTTAAGAAAAAACTTTTTTCAGCATGTTATCTCTATTTAGTCTATTTATGTTTTTTAGCTATTGCTGTTTCATTTTTAGCTTTTAGCTATCATTCTGCATCTTTTAGCTTTTACCTAGCCTAGGTTTAACACATAGCTAGCACTTTCATACTTTGAGTTAACCTTTTAATACTGTATACTTTTATCTAAGATTTAGCTTTTTCAACTAACCTTTTACTATTTTTAGCAATTTTTTGCTGCTTTTATCTACTCACTTGCTACATTTACAAAACTTCTACATTCTTCTAGCAAGCCTTTTGATACTTTTAGCTTTTACTCAGCCTTTTTCTTTTCTAGCTTCTAGCTGCTACTTTGCTACTTATAATTATTGGTACTTTTATCCAGACTTTGACTGTTTTTTTCCAGCCTCTGCTTCCTTTAGCTAGCATTTTGCAGCTTTTAGGTTTTATCTAATTACTATGTTTAGCTTCTAGGTAGCCTATTGATATTTTTTGATGCCTTTAATATTTTCAGCTAAACTTTTGCTATTTGTAGCCAGCCTGTTGCAAGTTATTTTGCTACTTTTACCTAGCTACTTTCTACTTTTAGTTTGCAGTTACTTTTAGCTAATGTATAACTTGCTTAGCTGTGTAGTAAAACAGGCTGTAGAAGTTAATTGACATCTCACGAGTTACATCAGCCGTGGGTGTGAAAACGTCCGTCTGTTATCTTTGCCCGTTTTATCCTTTCTGGGTCGTTGGCGTCTTTCTCCAGCAGTCAATTTATTAGAGGCGGAGAACACCCTGGACAGGACAGTCCATAACAGGGACACACAGAGACAAACATCCATTTTATTGAGGCCATCAGGGCCAAAAACACGTGACTTTTCATGTGACTTTGAAGCATGAACAACACATAGTTTGTGTTGTTTACATGTTTGTTTAATACACAACTCATGCCTGTTTATGTCGCTTTGTGGTGAATGGCACTTTCTGGCAGTTTGAGTCATGTCTCTCCTCATTGGCTTATTTTAGCAAAAAGTGGAGCTTCACACCATTTACTGACCAGATAACCTGCTGCTGCTCAGGTTTTATTTTTTACATTTAAAAACAACACATCCTTTATATGTTGTTTACGCATTAACAAGTTGTTTGCATGTTAATTACACATGGAAATGTGTTTCCAATGTACAAACAATACAAACTTCACAAAGTCACATGCTTTTGGCCCTGCTGGCTTTCCATATCTCACTATAGGGATAATTTAATTTCCACTTAATCTAACATAAAATATTCTTGATGACTTTTCCCTTACTTATGTAAATGTGTTGTTTGGATTCTTCTCTTATCTCACTAATAAAACAAACCATTATTATATTATCAACCTAATTGTATTGGTTGCAAAATATCATATACATAAGTCTAAATTATCAAATCAGAAACCTTGTTTATCAAGCTTTAGAGGAATTCAAACAATAAATTAGAACACTCGTGTATTCAAAAAATAGTAAAGCCATTAAAACAACTGATATGTGTACTCACTTTAACATTTTTGTGACTTAATAAAAAAAAAAAAAAAATATATATATATATATATATATATATACATTTCAATCTATTTGTGCTCGCTGTATAACGGCATGACATTATTGTCTTGTTTATTTTGTTCTATAATGATGATATTGATTTTGCTGTTTTGTCAACGCGTTTATTATCAATAAAGCTTAAAAAAAACTAACATAAATGTGATAGACAAAAATAAATTTTAACAAAATACCATAAAATTCATTATTACAAAGGAAACCTAATAATAGCAGAGACAGTTGTGATGGGTTTGTATCTGTTTGGAGATAAAAATAGATCTGAGCTCAAAGGGATGCTGCTGGAGCCACGCCCTTCTGTGACGTCAGAGGGCCGTTCCTACTTTTAAACCTGTCTCCAGAACTGTGAGCAGAGGATTCTGTGCCTCCTGCGGGATCCGGGTCTGTGGATGGGCTCTGTGTGCCGCAGCTGCAGCACATCCAGTTCTTGTTTTTTATCTTTGTATATTAAAAAACTAAACCTGGTTTTTGCCTCATATATCTGCATGAAATGAGACATTCAGGAGCAAGGATCTTCAGGAACATTTACGCACGGAGGTGGCGCGCACGTGTGGAGCTCCTTCTGGTCCCTCTCCTCTCCGCGCAGCAGCACCATGCTGCGGGCTCTCCTGTCCTTCATCTCCAAGATCCTGCAGGAGTCCCAAGACCGGTCCAGATCTGAATGAGAGGAAACATGGAACTGGGATTGTGGCTGGTGGTCCTGACTACGGGCTCGGTCTGCGGACTTCCCACCAGCCTGACAAACTCCACTCTGTCAGAGGTAAGACCAGTTCGGATGAGAACTTTCAGGGTTCAGAATCCAGATCTGGTTCTCATTTAGTCTCCACATTTTCTCGAGGTCTTTCAGGTTTTTTTTGTAGTTTGGCTGTTTCTTTCACTCAGCTTCAATTATGTACACTTTCAGAATGTTTTTGGTTTGTTCAATATATTAGAAAAATAGCTTTTAGATAAAAAAATAATTATATTTTTAGTCAAAAATGACAATTATTATTATATATTTTTAGCCCAAACCTTTTAGAATCATCTCATCTTTCTTATCTTTGGTTCTTCATGTTGAGTAGAAACAGTTTTGATTCTCAAACTAAATTTTTTTCAATGAAAACCTTCAGCTGAGCTTTCATCATGACTTCCATCAGACACATCTTGGTTCAGGTAGATTGGACCTTTACTGAGTATGCAGTGACACATGATGGATTATTTCAGTGCCCAACGATCTTTAATAATAATCTGCAGGTAATTTCTGCTGTTTAGTTTCTCATTGATGTGTCAGATTATCAAAGGGTGGCCTGGTTTAACCTCGAGGGTTTTTATACTCCCATCAGAAGAAGTCTGCTCACGATGGTTTGTTTTTGCACACATTTATAATCTACAAGACACAGAGCTCCTGGAAAACCCCTCCCACAAACATTTTGGTTGATGGACTCCTCCGTGCACAGTGTCAGTGCAAGCTTCATCCCGGAGTTTTGGGCCATTTGACAATCTTTATACGTTCGTCCACTGACGGTGAGGAGCTCTGCCATTCGGGGGGAGCTCAGAGTCGCTGCTCCTCTGCACTGAAAGGAGCCAGCTGAGGTGGTTCGGGCATTTGAAGGTGATGCCTACTTGACGCCTCGTTGTGGAGGTTTTCTGCGCATGTCCCACTGGGAAGAAACACTGAAAAGACCCAGAACTCACTGGAGGGATTATATACCTTTTCTGGTCTGGGAGCGCCTTCCAGGAGGAGCTGGAACGTGTCACTAAAGAGGGAGGTCTCCGTTTCTCTTCTGGACCTCTTCGGATAATTTGTAGAAGATGAAGATTTGTGACTACTCTAATCTCTGGTTTCCTCCTCCCTCTGGTTTTCTTGAGAGTAAAAGATCTGAGCTGCCATCATCACCTCCTTCTTCTGGTTTTCATAGCAGCTCCGTTTATTGACATTAACTTCAACAGCAGCTTTATAATAAACTCATTAATCTGACTGTAATCCGATGAGTCCACAGAAACTGAACAATGATGCTTCATGTCATCTCCACTTCAGTAGTAAATATTGGATTGTATCATAAGATCACAGAGTTTCTAATCCTCCTCATATTAATGCATATAAAACAGTAAATGTTCCAGTTTTCTATTAAAAAACAAGAACATTTAATCTAGCTTCTTCTCAAATTCAATTATTCTGATGGATTTAACACTCAGTGTAAATTTATCTGTTCCAAATTATCTCCTTGTTGGTCGCTCAGTCAGTGGTAATCTGGATTTATATTCAGGCCAGTTCAAAGATACTTGTTTCTGACTGTTTATACTTAACTTTTGTCTTGAGATTTTAACATCTTAAACATAAAGTATCAACTAGTCCGCTTAAAAAGAGATTTATATTAAGATTAAGAAAATCTGCTAAACTTCATGAGTGTGTTGATCTGCAGATCCAGAATCTGTGTGTGACTAAATCAAATAATCTGTGTCTGTACGTTTTATTTTACAAAGCAAATTTGGGAAAATCATAAAATATGTTTTTGTGTTAAAATATATATATTTGTTTGTTCTGACAAAAGATGCAAAACCAGATAATCAAAATGTTTTATTGTTGACGTCCAACAAAAAAGAATTAAAGTAGTCAGTAATGGTAGCAAAAAGCGAGCTAAAAGCTGACAGTAGAAAAAAATAGCTAGATGCTAAAAGTAGCAAAAGACTAGCTAAAAGCTTAAAGTAGCAAAAAGCTAGTTAAAATTACCTAAATGTTTTGCTAAAACTAAAAAATCAAAAGGCTAGCTAATAACTGAAGAGTATCTTAAAGTTAAAGTAGCAAAATGTTAGTTAGAAACTAAGTGTAACAAAAGAATTATCTAAAAGCTAACAGTAGGAAAAGATAGCTAGATGCTAAAAGTAGCAAAAGATTAGCTAAAAGCTTAAAGTAGCAAAAAGCTAACTAAATGTAGCTAAATGCTTTGCTAAAACTTAAAAAAATCAAAAAGCTAGCTAAATAGTTTGACTATCTAAATGTGAAAGTAGCAAAAGGTTAGTTAGAAAATAAATGTAAAAAAGATAGCTAAAGCAACAAAATGTTAACTAAAGAGGAAAGAAGCTATCTGAAATGCTAAAATTAGTAAAAGACTTCCTTAAATAGCAAAAAACTTGCTAAAAGCTAATAATAGCAAAAAGATAGCTAAATGCTAAAAGTATCAAAAGACTAGCTAAAAGTTTTAAGTAGCCAAAAACTAGTTAAAAGCTAGAAGCAGCAAAAGTTTAATGAAAATCAGCAAAGGTTTGCTAAAAGTTAACTGTAGCAAAACAATAGCTAGAGGCTAAAAGTAGTAAAAGCCTTGCTTACATAGCAAAACTTTAGCTGAAAAAGAGGCAAAAAGCTATCTAAAAGCTAAATTACCACAAGGGTAGCTAAAAGCTAAAAAAGGGCAAATATTTAGAAAATTTAAAAAGTTTCAAAAACCAAAAGTTGCAGCTCTCAGTTGAACATTTTGATATATACACAGGTAAAATAGCAGAAAACGTGTCACAATAAACACACAGAAAATAAAAACATGAAAATAATTTAAAAATGAAACCTGTCTGAGCGTAAACGTCAGGTTTCTTCCTTTATTACTCACTTTTACCTGGAGGGGGGATGAGAGTCTGCAGGAGGCGACTCACTGACTGATCTCACGGGGAGGAAGGTGCTGATTCACCTGAATCATCCTGGGTGGACGTCTGTCCTCTCCCAGGAGACGCCTTCCAGCTGAAGCACATTTTGAAGAAGGCGTCAGATTCTTCAGGTGGTTGGAGCTCGAGCTGTGGGATTCGATGGATGCTCAAATGTCTCGCACCCTAGCCTAAGCAAGAAACTGGACCATCATCTGTTAATTCTCAACATTGGAACAGGGATCAAGTGAAAACATTAAAACTTCTGACTGAAACTAAGAACAAAGCAGCGGAAGAGCTTCAGAACGTCTGGAGAACTTCAGATCAACACCACTTTATAAAAATTGTGACTTTATGGCTTTTAGGGGTCAAAAGAAGCTAAAATACAGTGTATTTTCTCACTTATCTGTGTAAAAATCTTCACATTTTTAATTATTTTCTTTAAATAAATGAACTAAAGCAACTGCTGCCGTACTTAAAAGAAAAATGTGATTTTTGTGGTTTAATGAAAGAATAATGATGAACGGTACGCTCGCTCAAAAATCTAGACAGCAGGTTTGGCAGAGACAGAAACTGTTTTTAATTTTTATTTTTGTTGACGTGAAATATTGACAGTGAATGTTTGGGTCCTCTGGTTTCTGTGGGACACTTCAGGAACCGGAGAATGGTCCAAACTGATGTCAGAGACCTGCAGCTCGGGCTCGGTGGTGAGTAACGGAACACCTGACGGCGCTGTGTGGGTTTAACAGTTTAGCTAAAAATACAGAAACCCGAGCTGCAGAGAGGCCGCCGAGCCAACAGATGGGAGGAATCCTTCTTCCTGTTCCACGTTTCAATAAAACATCCAGAACTGTTCTCTTGATCCGCTCTCTGACCCGTTATGTTCTCTGAAGAACTCAGATTTTATCTCGGGTCTTTTTCAATCGCTCACACGTGAACTGAGTTTTTGTGCTTCTGACGAGTTTAGCATTCTGCTCTTGTTCAGCTGATTTAATCTTAAAACTAGCGTTTTTGTTAGCTTTAGCTTTTAGCTATTGTTTTGCTAATTTTAGCATTTTTCTATGGATTTGCTATCAGCTAAAAAAGCCCAAAGGAAAAAAAGCTGTCAGTTTGTGTCTTTTAGCTGGTTTTAGCTTCCCATTAACTCCTTTAAATCCTCTTTTACCTCCTTTTAGCTAACGTTCTTCACGTTTTAGCATTTATCTATTTTCTGTTAACCTTTAGCGATTATCCTGCTTCTTTTACCTTTCTGTTCCGTTTAGCTTTTAGCTACCATTCATTCTCATTTAAGCTTGTTTCTCTCATTTTAGCTTTTTTTTTTCCTTTTAGCTTTTAGGTACCACTCTTCTGCTTTTAGTTACCATGCTGCTCCTTAAAGCCTCAGTTTTGCTACTTTTAGCATATTTTTTGTTGCCTTAAACTTTTAGCTATTCTGATTCTTAAGTTACCATTCTTTTCCTTTTAGCATTTTGTTTAGCTTCTTTTAGCTTCTTTTTTGTTCCTTTTATAACTTTTAGCTCTTGTTATTCTCCTTTAAGCTTATGTTGCTCTCCTTTTAGCTTCTTTTTTGTTTTAGCTACCATTTTGCTTTTTTATCCACTGTACTTCTTTAGGATTCCATTTTGCTCTTTTTAGCTTCTTTTTTGTTCCTTTTCAGTTTTTCGCTCCTGTTCTTCTCCTTTACAATTCTGTTGCACTCCTTTTAGCTTGTTTTTGTTTTAGCTACCATTTTGCTCCTTTTTATCCACTATTATTGTACTTTAGGCTTCTATTTTGCTCTTTTTAGCTTATTTTTTGTTCCTTTTTAGCTTTTAGCTCTTGTTATTTAAGCTTCTGTTGCTCTCCTTTTAGCTTCGTTTTTGTTATAGCTACCATTTTGCTTCTTGTTAGCTATAGTTCTTCTTCTTTAGGCTTCTGTTTTGCACCTTTTAGCTTCTTTTTGTTGCTTTTTTTTATTTATAAAAATAATAAATAATATCAACAAAAAAGCTGCCGTTCTCCTTTTCTACTTCAGTTCTCTTGTTTTAACTTGAGTAAAAGTTTAAACTCAGTTTCAGCTTCTTCAGCCACGTCATCACAGTGTTTTCACAGAAAATGTAATTTCTTCAGTTAATTTATTATTCTTTAGTCTTTCTTCACCCTAGACACCCAGTGTTCAGAAATTTATTTAGCTGCTGTTTTTTCGGCTCTGAAGTCTTTGACTTTTCTTTAAAAGCAGTCAGAGGATTCAACATCTGGCGTACTAATAATTTAAATAATTTCTTGCTCATTATTTTCAGTTTTTTATAACAATAGCTGTTGTTTCGTAGCTCGCACCAGAGAGCCGAGAAGATGCTCGTCAGAATCTGGAGCAGCTCCAACAGGAGAACCTGCTGCAGACTCTTCCTGCTTCATCTCCAACATCCAGACACCGCTGGAACCACCACCCAGGTGTCCTCCCCCCACCTGTACCCGAGAAGGACCCTGAAGCCTTCGTCCTGGACCTGAGGAATGTCCCAGAGCTGGCTAACGCAGACGTGGGCTCTCAGAACCCCAACATACAGGTAGGACACAGAGTCCTGGCTCCCCCCCAGCAGCTGGTTTGAGTCAAACCAGCATCTAAAGTTTCAGGACCTTCAGCAGCACCACTCTCCAACTTGCCCATGAACCTCGCAACATCTGCACAAGAGCGAAAATCTAAAACACATGAGAGACCGATTATAAAAAGGTCAAAGAATCCTTTTTATTTATGTATTTATTGTAAATCCTGGCAGCGAAGTCCCGAAAAATAAAGTTTTAACAACCTGAACCCACAGAGCAGATTTGAAGAAAACACACGTGGAGGACGGAGTCGTGAAAAAGTCACGTACGGCGTGTGTAGAGTCTAAACGTGCCAAGAGATAAAAAGCTGCTTTAAGTTTTCAAGGAGACGCACGTTCCTGAAGAACCTCAGAGAAGGTTTGGAAAACTTTTTTCATCGTGACGATTAAATTTGAATGGAAACTAAGTGAAGCTGAAGTTCATTCACTTTCAGTTTTGGAAGAAAATCACAAAAAAATCCAACTGAGACTAATCCTTGATTTGTTTTTAAACCATTTACAGCAAATGTTTAGGTTTGATCCTTTTTTTTTTTAACACCCAGCATCTTCTTTTGACCTCCATTCACAAAGAGTCTAAACGCTCCGGGGGTTAAAATGTAGATGAAAACTGATTATTTCATGAATTAAAAATGCACATTGAATGAACAAAGACTTAAAATTGAGCTACGGTACTTAAAATTTTTAGACAGTTTGTGTGACATCATCAGCTGTCAGATAAAATATTTGATTATGAATCATAAGACTTGAGCTGTAATTGTGTAAAAACCATAAAATATATTGAGATGTCATTTCAGACCCATAAAGTCCAACTTTCTGTGATCCATTTAGCCTTTAAATCGTGTTTGGGCCTGAGCTGCAGAGCTACAAAGAGTTTTTTTCTGGGGTTTTCCTAAAATCCCAATGATCCCTATTATTTATTATTTTTTCTGCAATTTATTTGCGAATTTTGTTGACGATGTGTGACGTATCGCTGTCAAAATCGCAAACCGACCTTCCTAATCAAGCTGAACGTCCTGGTGTTTGATTTGTTTTATTTCATAGTTGCGTTACGATACAAACAAATCAGGATACAGTTAAAAATGTGTTTTTTTTTAAACAGAGGTTGCTCAAGACTTTATTTTTACTGTATTCTTAATTGTATACAGAGCTTGTCTTGCTGAACATTTGTTCTATTTCACAAAATTTCACATTGACATGTTGAACTTCAGCTGACATTTTGTCTTTGTAAACAATTGAACATGTGTGTGTGTGTGTTTAAGGTAGGACTACAGAGGAACATTCAGATTCAGCTATCAGTTCATCTCTTCGTCCCACCACCTCCATCCATGCCTGCGTATCCTGCGCTGCACAATAACCCTCCTTCATAAAATCAGTGCTCGTCTACAATCTGATTCTCACATAAACCGACGTACCTGAAGCAGCACCATCACTCCCCTCATAGTTTCTCAGAGATTGGAACAACACGTGGGGTGGAGGAATGTGATTCGTCTTGACCTCTTCTGCCTGTAAACAAACAAACAAACAAACAAAAAAACACTTCTTAAGGTAGAAAGAAGACTATTTAGGCTTCTGAAAGTGATTCTGTGAGCAAACAGGAGGCGTTCAGGTGCACGACTCATCGTAGGAGCTCAGTAGTTTGTTGGTGTTCGGTGTTTAGAGCAGCTGGAGCGTAAAAACAGTCTCACAGATGCAGAACTTACGTGGTGCCGGTGGCGTTCACGGTCGTCCTGAAGAGAACAGGAGGCTGTTGTTTCTGTTGGACGGGTCTGAACCGGACGAGTCAGGAACGAACCTGAAACACTTCAGGGGCTGCAGGGAATCAGATGCACCTTCTGCTTTTATCAGCGGTCACATTTTCTGTGAAGACTTTAGCTGTTAAGACATTAAGAATCTCAGCAGAAAATTTAGCTTTTTCTACAAAAACAAAGTGTGAAAGCTAAAGGCTGAAAGACTAGAGCTGAAATTTGTCCAAGAGATTGAAAGTGAATTGTTAAAAGTTCAAACAATAAGAACAAAGAGTTAAACCAAAGCTTTATGCTACATTTGGCTAAACAAAAGCTAAAACTTGCTAAACAAATGCTAAAATGACCTAAATAAATGCTAAAACTACAAAAACAAAAGCTAAAAATTACAGAACAAAAACTTAAACTACCAAAAACAAAAGCAAAAATGAGCCAGAAAAGCTAAAACCAGCACAACAAAAGTTAGAATTAGCAAAAGAAAAGCTAAAACTACCAAAAAACAAACAACTTAAAGACTAAAACAAAGCTAAAACTTGGAAACAAAAGCTAAAACTACCTAAATAAAAGCGAAAATTACAAAAACAAAAATAAACTTTCAAAACAAAAGCTAAAACTACCTAAACAAAAGCTAAAACTAGCAAAACAAAAGCTAAAATTAGCTAAGCAAACACTACGATGATCAAATCAACACTAAACTGAAAAGGTTGTGTGACAAACAAATCTATATGAAAATTTGATAAATTATCTTGAGCTGATCAGAAGTTATGGCTCAGACAAGCAAAGACCTAGTTAAACGTTGACCTTGATTTGTGACCTTGACTTTCATGTTGATGGTGGTGGTGGGGGGGGGGGCGTAAAAGATGATGTAACACTCTGTCTAGTGGTACAAATGTGTATGAAATATTGTTAAATTAGTTTGGGCAATCAGAAATTTTGGGTGTGACAAGCAAAGACTTTGTACAACTTTGACCTTGATCTGTGACCTTGAAATTAAAGCTGGGGTATGACAAGTGTATGTGACACTCTGTCGTGTGATGATAAATATGTGTTAAAATTATTTTGAGCGACTCCAAAGTTATGGGGGGGAAAAGAAAAACTAGACGGGCAGATGTACGGATGGAGACTACAACAATACGCCCGCCTTCGACAGGCTAATAAAAATGTGTTCAGCCGTTCATGAGTTATTTGGCTAACAGACAGAAAGCACAAACATTATTGCCCAGTTTTGCGTTTCGGTGGTGGGCGATAAGACAAAAGTCCAGGGTTTGACAAAATACAAGATTACAAAGAACACGGCAAACAAAAACTGCCAGAACCAATAAAAAAACACAACAAAATACCCCTAAAAACACAAATAAACAAAATGGCTGCCAAAACGTTTTTATATTTGTAATTTTGCTGCTCGTGTGAGGGTTTTAAGACCATCAAACTGACAGATGTTAGTTTTTTTTTTAATTGATTGGGGGTCTAGGTAACAGTGAGTGGAGAGAGCGGGTGAACCTTTCTAACTAACGCCGGGTGTTTCAGGTGACCATCGAGGTGGTGGGGGACTCTCAGACGGAGACGGAGGTGGAGATGGACCTCGCCGCGGAGAGCCAGAGGAACGACTGGTCGCTCTCATCCTCGGACTGGATCAACAGCCACAAGAAGCTGTTCTGGCCGCTGTTCTGGGAGTACCCGGAGCGGGCGGAGAACGGGCTTGGAGGAGGCGGGTCTGAGGAACAGACTGAGGACTATGGCTCTGATCCTGAGGTCCTGAGTGGAGTGGGGGCGGAGTGGGGGCGACGCTGGGACAAAGAGTGGGAGACGAAGGATAACTTTGGTAAGACAGCACGACAATTAAATCTCTGCTGACGCTCTTTCACCTTCATGCAGGAGAGTTTATTAGCCGGGGGCGGAGCCGAGCAGTGGTCAGGACTCACCCACATGAAGTGATTTTGCAGGATTTGCAGTGACGGTTCCTCAAGCTTCAGATCTTTGTTTAGAAAAAGATGATTGTCTGAATGTGCTTCTACAGATCTTTCTCACTCGGCAGTGTAAAGACACGTTCCAGCCCATTTCACCTTCCACAGAAAACAAGTTTTTGTCCCTTTAAACAGTTCTTATTACTTGAGGACTTACTGTAACATAAACCTGACATGATTCATGACGTTCTGCTCCTTCACAGTCTTCAGTCCAATAAGATGAACACCACAAACTTTTCCTCTGACTCTTGACCTCTGAACTCTGACCTTCTGAATGAAGAAAAACTACCTAAAACTATCAGCAAGTCCAACGTTAAGAATCTCAGAATAAAGCAGTTTTTTTTATGCACTGTGGAAGCTAAAGGCCAAAAATTTGTTCAAGAAACTGAAAGTGAATTTTCAAACGACAACAAAAAATACGATTACTAAAAGCAAAACTAAATGCTAACATTTGCAAACATTATGGTTCAGGTTTGGTTTATTTGCCATATGCAAAATCAACGTCAACAATGCAATGAAATGCTCAGGACGAGATGAACCGTCTCGACTCGCCAAAAAAACAGCAACAACAAATATGCATGCAACAAAAATACAAAAACAAGGTGCCAAAAGTGAAAAAGAAATGCATCTACAGCAGCATGGTCCTATTAGCAGAGTGGTTCGGTTAGCAGTGAGGTTTCTCTTAGCAACATGTTCCCGTTGGCACCATGGTACTGTTAGTGGTGTGGTTCGGTTAGTGGCATGGTCTTGTTAGCATTGTTAGCAGGTCTTGGTAGCATGTCCCGTTAGCAGCTTGATGATAATAATGGTCGCAGCAGCTGTCCTCCCAAACTATCCTCCAGAACCGGGTCTGGCGGACAGAGAACATCCAGCGTTTCCCTGCAGAACCGAATGGATCCGTAGAATTCGGTCTGTGCAAGCAGATGGAGGATCATGGGGACGGCCGCCATGACAGGCCAGAGCCCGAGGCTGGAAGGACTGAACCACGATGGCAAAGCAGCGACACAGAAAACTCCACAAGTGTGTCGCGGTCATACCCGTACTGTGGGTGTGCAATGTAGGCGCAATAAAAGTTCAAACAAAAGCAACAGGAACAAAAAAAGATCGAGTCGAAGCAGAGCTCCCGTCAGCGCTGGCATTCTGCGGCACACATGACGTCATTATAACTGTATACGTTCTCTCATGATAGTTTTTGAGTTCCCCTGATTGTTTGGTGTTTCCATACAATATAGAATAAAGGCTTTAAACTATTTGTGCACAATGTTAGAATAAGTGTGTATATCTGTAGATCAGGCTGAATTGTAGCCATTTTTAGCTTATATAGTCTGTAGCGGCCATCTTGAATTGGGTTGAGCCCAAAACTTTGTCAGTTGTAAACGTTTATCTGATGATGTCTCTGAGTTTGATTATAGTACATCCTTTGGTTCGTGAGATATTTTGCAATATTAGATCAAGATGGAAATAGTGGTGTGAAAAAAAAATATATATATATTAAATAAAATATTAATGTTTTACTGAAACACTAGTGTAATGGGTCAAACGTCGACACCTATGCTCAGTTTGTACTAATCTCGAGGGAACGACGGTTTGTTTTTGCTCGCTTGACGCTGTCGTCACTCTCACTGCAGGAAGGGTTTCACTTAGCCCTGAACCCTCACCCCTCCTCCCCCTCCATCCAGCCCCCTAACAGTCTTTGAAGTTCTCCCCTTCCTCCCCTCCTGAAGGTGGTGTGTTTAAAAAAACCGAGGAGCATGTTCCATACTCTCACTCCCTGGCCCATTTCAGGCACTCCTTAATTGCATAACACATGCACACCCATGTGCGCGCACACACACACACACACACACACACTGGCAGAGTGAGGAATCCACAAGGCTGACTTCAAAGGCTGCTTCCCCCCATAGTTCAGGTTTCCGCCCCTCTAACCTCCTCTGGCTCATCCATCTTTTATTGCTGTGTTTTTTAGAGCGTGAGGAGTGGGGCAAATGGGCCCCGTGCAGCGTCACTTGTGGGTTTGGATCCCAGAAACGCACCCGCTCCTGTGGCTACGCGTGCACGGCGACCGAATCACGCACGTGCGACCTGAAGAGCTGCCAGAGTAAGAGGCAACCTGACTCTTGTGAAGTTTTTACAGCTCAGAAAATCAGCCTTAAGACCTGCCGGTTCCAGTTCCAGTCCAGAGTGGTGATCTGTGGGCGATTAAGATTTCTGACTCGTTTCCTGTCATCGTTAGAAAAATAAGACCTGCCATAACAACATTCAGCATGCGCAGAAAACACAGAAAGTTTAACCTTTTACAAAAAAAAAGTCACGATTGATGAAAACATTTATTGAAGGACAACAATGTAGGAAAGACAAAATAACTTTCAAGGTATTCTGTGGAAAAACTTGGATTTAAACGGTCATTGAAGCCTTCTCTATTTATTTTTATGTCCCACACAGGTCAAAAGGTTTTTGCAGGTATTAATTAGTTTATCTTTATATAGATTTTTTAAAAATCTTTTAAAACTTGTTGTTCTTTAAAATATACAGAAATACACTTTTAAAAAATATTTCCTCATGCTTTTTGTCTCCTTATGTTTTCTTTTTTGTTTCCTTTCACTTGTTTTTTTTTTTGTCTCCTTACACTTCCTTTTGTCTCAGGTTTCCTTTTTTGTCTCCTTACGTTTCCTTTTGTCTCAGGTTTCCTTTTTTGTCTCCTTACGCTTCCTTTTTGTCTCAAGTTTCCTTTTTTGTTTCCTTATGTTTTCTTTTTTGTTTCCTTACACTTAATTTTTTTGTCTCCTTACATTTTCTTTTTTGTGCCATGCTTCCTGTTCGTTTCCGTACACTTCCTTTTGTCTCTTTACATTTTGTTTTTGTCTCTTTACGTTTCCTTTTCGTCTCCTTATGCTTCCTTTTTGTGTCATGATTCTTGTTTGTTTCCTTACGCTTCCTTTTTGTCTCTTTACATTTTGTTTTTGACTCTTTGTATTTTGTTTTTGTCTCTTTATGTTTCCTTTTGGTCTTTTTACATTTTGTTTTTGTCTCTTTACGCTTCTTTTTTGTCTTCTCATGCATCCTTTTTATCCTTTTTATTTTATTTTTCGGCAATTGCCAGCTTAGTCATTCAGCCGTCAGCACTTACAAACTGTCTCGTCTTATATTAGATTTAGTTATGTTCTCAGAGCTATTCACAGAGTGACTATTATTATTATTATTATTATTAATATTATTTTAATTCTGCAGAAGTTTGACTCACTTGAGGAGCAGCTCAGGTTGATTTTATTGCTGTAACGTTTGTCGTAGTGATCATTAAGTTTCTGGACCTCTAAAAGCATGCTTTAATATCAACCGGATGATGCTGACAAGGATTCTCTGGAGATTTCTCATCTTTATCGTTTTCTTTTTCTTTCTTCTGCCTTTCTCTGTCTTTTAGACTCTGTGATAACAGTGACAGACTTGATGCCTCTTCAGACGACCAACAGCACAGAATCAGGTTCGTTTGTGTTTTTATGTTTCACTTCTTGCTTTGAATCAGATTTTATGCTCCAGTCGGGTCAGTTTCACACTCTGCGCGGCTGTTTTTAATGTTTTTTAAAAGCTCTTTCTTCCCAGAGAGCTGCTGTGCTGAATGAAACGCAGAAACGTTTGAGTAGATCCTGTTTTATTGCTCTCCCGCTGCGACGCAGCAGCCAGAGAATCCGATAGTTCGTTTTCCTCCGCAAACATAACAAAGAGCACAGCAGTGAGGAACACATGATCTACTGTCACATAGTTTACCTCTCGGTCTGCGGCTGCTGCAGACAGTCGAGGAAAACCTCTGTTTTCACCGTCAGCCTCTAATTTTCTTAACGACAGTCAAAGTGATCTAAAGTTTTCATGGGAATTCATCATGTCAGAAGGCAACACGGCTGGTGAACACTTGAATTTATCTCACAGCAGCTTCTTTTCAAATTATCTGAATGTATAAACAGTATATATTTTAGCCTTTCACAGTTTTCTGCTTTTTCTGTTTAGTTTTGTTGTTAAAATATTTGAAGCTAAATGCATAAATGCCAATTCAACATTCATACTTTTGTTTTCTCGTGTTTTATTTTTCCGTACAGTTAAGTCTTTGTACTGTTTTATCATTCGTATGTCAAAATGTTCAGCTCATTCAAGCTCCTATAGCTTTTGAGTTTGTAACGTTTATTCTTTTTAAAATATCTACATTTATTTATATTTAACCCATAGACATTTGCTCTTCAATTCATTCAAAAGCATTAATTGAATGAATTGAATTAAAACCTGCTGCAGCATATTTGTTTTATTTTTGTCTTCTTTGGCTACTTTTAATCTTTAGCTACTGTTGCGCTGCTTTTAGCCATTAGCTTGATTTTTGTTGCCTTTAACTAATAATTAAGCTTTTGCTACTTTATATTTTAGCCAGCCTTTTGATACTTTTACTTCCTGTTCTGCAATTTTTAGTTTTAGTCAGCTCTTTATTAGGTTTCAACGAAAGTTCGCCTAATTCTAGCAAACATCTTTCTTTAGTTGATCTTTTGATTGTTTTAGCTTGCCTTTTGGTTCTTTTAGTTATCTTTTTGATTATTTAGCTTTCCTTTTTAGTCTTTTAGCTATTCTTTTGATTATTTTAGCTTGCCTTTTGATTGTTTTAGCTATCCTTTTTAGTCTTTTAGCTATTCTTTTGATTATTTTAGCTGTCCTTTTGATTGTTTTATCTATCTTTTTGACTGTTTTAGCTATACTTTTGTCTTTTAGCGGTTCTTTTCATTTGCTTAGCTATCGTTTTGCTCCTTTTAGCTATTCTTTTGATTCTTTTAGCTATTATTTTGAGCATTTTAGCTATTATTTTGAGTATTTTAGCTATCCTGCATCCTTTTGATTATTTTGGCTTGCTTTTTGATTCTTTTAGCTATCCTTTTGTTTTTTAGTTATCCTTTAGATTCACTTAGCTTGACTTTTGTTCCTTTTAGCTATCTTTTTGAGAGTCTTAGCTATCCACTTGATTGTTTTAGCTATCCTTCAGAGTCTTTTAGCTGTTGTTTTGCTTGTTTGAGCTTCAGTAACTATTATTATACTATTATTATTATACTAGTATTCAGCATATCTCAGCTAAATAATTCAGGACTCATCATCTCACTGCATTTATGTCTATTGTCTTGATGTAAATTTACATGAAAATGTGATAATTTTTTGTTGGTAAATGGGATTAAAGTGCTTTTGATGTTCTGACCCAGATGTGGACAGCTGTGAGAAGTGGTTAAGCTGCAGGAATGACTTCCTGCAGAATTACCTGCAGCAGGTGCTCACCGAGCTGCCCAGCTGCCCCTGCTCCTACCCCTCCGAGGTCGTCTACGGCACCGTCGACATCGAGGACGTCGGACTCCACAAGTCGTACCGCTGGAGGGACGCCAGCGGACCCAAAGAGCGACTCGACATCTACAAACCCTCAGCCCGGTTCTGCATCCGCTCCATGCTGTCGTACGACAGCACCATGCTGGCGGAGCAGCACTGTTGCTACGACGACCGGATGAGACTGATATCGCGGGGGAAGGGAGCGGGAGCGCCGAACCTGATCAGCACCGAGTTCTCCCCCGAGCTGCACTACAAGGTGGACGTCCTGCCGTGGATCCTGTGCAAAGGGGACTGGAGCAGGTTCCATTCGGTGAGGCCCCCCAACAACGGGCTGGACTGCCTGGAAAACCCTCCAGAACCGGTGTTTCAAATGGAGCTCAGAGAGGCTCGGGAGTACTGACACATTAAGTCAGAATACAACGCAGTGATCCGGACTCGAACTCTCTGAACTGATAAAAACTGAGACTTTCAGAACATTGAAGGCTTCTGTTTTAATTCCTGCACAGAAAAAAAAGCAGAAATGAACTGAAACTGGTGACTTTGTGTTCTATCAGCTGATTTACGTCTTTAAATGTTTGAATCGTCTGATGTGAAACGGCTGCTTGTGTGTGCGTGTTTGGGTGTGGATGAGATTATTTATTGGCCCAGATTATTATTATTTTTTTGTATTGTTTATATCTGAATTCCCATGGGAAAAAGTCATGTAAAGCTGCTAAATATGAAATAAAACCTAATAGACTGAGTATAAATTGTATCTGAATTATCCCCAACACTTATTGCAGCTTCTTCGCATTTGGTTGTTAATTATTGCGTGTTTATATGTTTTAAAGCTTTAAAAGGTTAAACTGGATATCAGACAGAGCATCTTATTTTGTGTTTGGATAATAAAAGATAAACTCTGACAGATGATTGATGAAAAGAAAGAAATAAAACTTATTTTGGTGTCAGGGCAGAAAGTTTTCCGTCCCTCAAAGTTCCCTTTTAAATGAGAACCCTGGCGACCTGCAACAGGATTACTTTTTTTAAAAACTGCAAGCTGTTTAACTGAGAAGGACTTCAAAAGATTGGCATGTTTACCGAGAGTCCCCTGATCTCTTCAGGCATCAGCAAACCTGTAAACTCGCACCTCCAGGAGGACAAAAGGAAGGAGGGGATGCAGCTCCTCCTCACACATTCCTCCTGTTTTCCAGTAAAATGTTCCAATTTTTGTTATTTTAGTCGGGATCAGTGTGATGTCTCTCCATCAGCACTGCCTCTCTTCACAGCTTTCCTTTTTCACACCCTGGTCTCTCAGGGAACACCCAGTTTGGATATGACAGAAAACGCCTCAACAAAGGTTGACACTTCCACAAGTCTTGTGCAAACAAGACGATGTCTCAATAAAAACCTTCATCTGTCGGCTGCTTCGAACTCTTGACAGGCAGCAGGGAATAATCCTATGTGATGGCAGAGTTTTTTAAACAAATACACCTAATGGAAACTTTATTTTTGCCAATAAAATGAGGCATGACCAGTTTTAACAAACATAAAAAGGTGTATAAAGTCACAAAATGTCTGTTTTCTGATCTCTATAAACCATTTCCGCTGTTGGAAAATAACTTCTTAACCGAATTTTTAAAAATTTGTTCTAAAAATTTGCCATTTCCAACGTGAGAAACGTCATGTAATATGATGGTTTGAAACTGCTGATTGTGGAAACTGAAGCACGATGGGTGATTCTAAATTAACAGAGTGCACAGCCGTGTTTTTTGATGGATTGGTGACTCATCAAAGGCGTCTTCAGCTTTGGTTGGACGTGAGAAACTTTCTCCAGATGACCTCCAAGTTGACACATTTGGGTTAATGTTCCTTCTGTTACACGTTTTACAACTTCAGAGACAGAAAGGTGCCATTTACCCAAGTTTATGGGTTATAGAGATGCTGCTGGGTGATTGATAAGACAAGCCTAAAGCAGAACTAAAGTTGAACAGTGAGTGAACGAAAGGGAAAAAGTGACAACAGAACTGTCTAAAAGAAAGATTAAGGCCGGAAAACCACTTTGGATGCACCAAATTCAACAGAAAATATGCCGGTTATGCGATAAAATGTGTAAAATAATGTGTATTATGCAACATTTCTTAATATTAAGATGTTTTCATCCACTTTCTGTATTTATATATGCATGTCACAGAGCTTTGATCTGCTAGACTTCTTTTAGAGGAGCTGAGTTTGAGGTGAAGTAGAATCACCAATGTGAAAAATAGGATAACTGGGTGTGCAGGTCCGAGAACTGGAGTGGAAAAGCATCCTAGATCCAAATAAAAACTTTAAAAGACCTCTGAGAAGACTCAGGAGCTATTGAACGTGACGAATAAGAAAGGTAAACATGAAGCAAAGTTTAGGTGCTACATTTAAAAGTATTTATATTTTTATTAAAGGTTTGTACCAGCAGATCTGCAGACTTACTTAAAGCTTCCCAGTTTTTCACAAGAAATTACTGCATCAGTTTATGTGAAAGTTATTAAAAATCATATCTCTTCAGTCAGTCGGTCTCTGAACATGCAAACGCTTCAGAAACTGTGGCGTCTCATACATTTGTTTCTCATAAAGTGTTTATGTAAGGTCATCAAACACAAACTGTTAAAATGTTCCCAATCTGCCGAATCTGGCTGCCTTTGGCTGGATTTTAGTCAATATTTTCTCTCAGGACTCCCAGTGAGGAAACTGGTTTTATTTTTTTAATTATTAACAGAGTTCTCAGACTGATGGGGACAAACTGGCTCATTTGACATTTGACCTGGTTTAGAACTTTTCTCAGGAGCCACGTTATAAAGTGCAACTAAAATCCTGGCAACAAAGACGCAGCCGAGTCCTCTCTAACACTTTCATACTTCTGGACTTTATCGGTACTGGACGGAAACCAAAATAAGTTTCAAAAACAGGGTTTGACACGGCTGTATAATTATGGAAATTTGTCAAAACACAATTCAAGAAGGCCACCGTTGGTTAGGAAACACAAAAATGGCTGTAATTTAGTCAGTTTTACAGCTATTGGTCTCAAATTTGTTGGGGTAGTAGCAGAGAGTCATTCAATATTCATAGTCCAAGCACTAAAAAGTTAGATTAAATCTGTGCGTTCCTTTCAAGGCAGACATGGGCAACGGGCCCTTCGACAATCTCCATCAGGACCCCATTATCCATCATTTAAAAAGCACACACAACTTTCTAAAAAAAGATTAATAACAATGAACAGGAATTTATCCATTTATTTAAGGACATTTAAACATCTTAACATAAAACTTTTTAAAAAACATTTTTGTCATTGTGATTCCAGAACTAGACTGAAGTTTAAAGACTTAGAACCACAAAAAAATAAGTTTGCTTAGCATATTTTCGCTAACGTATAACATGTGAAGCTAACGTGTATAATATAATGTCACAAGAGCCAGTTTATAGAATATATAGTATCTTATATCCCTAATGGATATTGGAAAGACATGTTTTATAAAACATGCTAACTATGCTACAATAAGAAAAAAGCTTGAAAAAGGTCTTCTAGATTATCTGTCATAAAGAAAAATTATTTTCCAATTATCTAGGTGGCCCTTGGATTGCTTTAAACTTCTTGATGTGGCCCTTTGGGATAAAAGTTGCACCTTTGCTTTAAGGAGTACTACTTTTTAATTAAATAAAGACACAAAACAGCTGGTTTGCAGAGTTGAAATCTACAAAACAAAAAGTTTTTAGAGTCCAGCCTCATGGAACTCAACAAGAACTTTCAATCATGTCTGCAAGTTTCATTTTTGAGTCTGTAATCAAGAATCAGACAACAGAACATCTTTGTTAGAAGCTGAAGGACTGTTGTTCTCATATTAGATTGATGGATGTGATTAGCTGATAATATCAGACACAAATCTGCTTTAATTGGAGTGGTTGACACAAAACAAGTCTGGTTTGTATCTACAATAATACCTCATAAAATAATAATAATAAATATCTGGCTCGTATAAGACTGAGGTGGATGCTTGTGTGAGTTTCTCCACAGGTTACACACTTCCCAGAGAGCTGCAAACACAAACTGCAGTCGTCTGCAGGGGAGTTTTTCCAAAGCACTTTGGGACATGGCTGTCAGGAAACCCTGGATGGAGTGCTGAGAGAATGAACCGGAGGGAGGAAGAAGATGGAGAGGAGCCATTAAAGACTGAAAGAGGCAAACAGGAGGTTCTCCCTCAACTCCCCCACTGATCAAACCTTCAGCTTTGGAGAAAAACAAGGAGAGAAAATAATGAGTGAAAGGAGGCTGGAAGGGAACCTATGAACACAAATACACACACACACTCAGGAATCTGTGTTTTATGGCTGTTGGACGGGCACTAAAGTTGCTCTGTGTGTTGATGGAGAGCAAAGAGAATAAAGAACCAGATGTTTGATTTTACAGGAACTAAATGATGTGCCACAACAGATTTGAATTAAAGGTAATATCATCATGAGAACAAAACTGTGGCCATAGCGGTCTTAAAGGGCGTTAGGCATGGAGGAAATGGTTGAAAGCAAGACCACGCCAGTGTGACGAGTGTCTTCGAACATTTTTTAGTTGAATGGCCAAACAGTCTGACAGGATGCTGCACCACACAGCTGCTCATTAAACCCACCGATGGCTGTCAGAGGAGCTGTTCGAACTCATTTCAAGCCCATTTCCACCTCAGGATTAAGTGGAATTTGATTCTCAACATGAACGGCACAAATTATCTGCAATCAAAGCCCAGAATTAACGGGGCGTTAAAATTAGACGAGGTCATCTTACAGATGTTCGCAAGACTGCGGAAAATCTTTCTTTCGTGATTTAACCAAACTAATGCTCTCAACCAGTCAGTCTAAAGTGAGGAGAATTAAACCGCACCCATCATTCTGCAGATATTTGGCTTTTTTCTCTCAGTAAATTGATGCGCTCAGGTTAAATGACTCTGGCAGCTTACCTCAGAGGCATCATGTCTAGTCTCGAAGCACATCTTCTTGAAGTTTGTCCTCTGCAGGGATGACATCTACAAATAGTTGCAGAAAAGAGTTTGGGTCACCTGAGATAGATTAAAAGAAAAATGCACAATGTGTGGATTAGTTGGAGTAAAGCTCAAAAAATTTGAGCTTGAACAAACTTTTTATAGGGTTTGAGGAGAAGTTGGTTCTCAAAAGGCTGTAAAATAACCAGCAATGTTCAGTCAGGTCATCTGGACGGTTTATTTTTTTGCTGAGACGTCTCATCCTTCATCCAAAGGACTTCATCAGTCCGAGGAGCCACAAACAAACTGAGTCCCACAAGCAGCACACTCCCATAGTGGGAAAAACGAAGTTGCTGGTGATAAGATAGTTTCTGGGGTCTGCCCTCTCCCCCATCAACTCCTTTGAGTCAGACAAAGTGGTTCAAATCATCAAAGTCCATGCTCAATAATCCAGGTAAAATCCAACAATGTTCAGTCAGGACATCTGGACGGTTTCGTCCTTCATCCAAAGGACTTCATCAGTCCGAGAAGTCTGAAACATCTGAGCAAAAAAAACAAAAACAAAAAAAAAAAAACAGTCCAGATGACCTGACTGAACATTGTTCGATTTTTACCTGGATTATTGAGCATGGACTTTGTTGATTTAAAATAACAATTTTCTCACTTTAAGCTCTTTAACTATGAAATAGGCTACTATGTTAAATGTTCTTTAAGAGAAACAAGTTGTAGAATATTAAGCCTACCTTTAAAAAAAGAGCCCA